TGTAACTTACTTTATATATCCTTAAAACATACTTAATTTGAAATACAAATAATAAAATTATTCTTTTTGCATCTAAAGAATTGACCAATCCAATTTCACTTCTTACTGATAAATGAATATGTATGACTAAATAACTAATGATTTATTTGATTAATTACACAGCAAGGGCATTGGTATTTGACTTTAAGGCTGAGATTATTTTCGGTTTTATTAACAACTTGCTTCAAAAAAATTTTAATGCAGATACATATGACAAAGAAGTTATATATCAAAATTGGTGGTAATTGCTACACAGCAAGGGTATCAAACAAGGGTATGATCAGTGTAAAAAATTGGAGGGGAGGAAGGGGCGAGTCTCACGTTACACTACATATGTGTGACTAAAAATATGTGCAGAAAAAAATATTTACATTAAATTTATTAAATTTGAAACAACTTTTCTTTTAACATTGTTTTATTATGCTTTACATTTTAAATATTATCCAAGAAAATATAATTTAATATTGTTTTAAATTAAGTATTTTGAGATGACTTTCTAACATAATTAATGATGCTTATTTAATAGGAAGCCATTGTAAATTGTTCCATGGTCCTCTCTGATGATTAGTGGCTGGCCACTAATCATTAGTTAGGAACACCCCCCCATTTGATTGTTCTATGCTGCTTGTAGGGACGCCTCAAGTGGTATAGTTGTAAATATTCCTTGTATATAATTTTTTTTATTTATCATTTTTAGGCCAGCAGTACTTCTATTAGTACTGTAGAGAGAATTGCACAATAGAGTTTTGAGTAGGCTCTGAGCTGTGTGCAGATACAGAGGCATGGTATAGAGTACTGAGAACCCTGAGCTGTGTGCGGATACAGGGAGATTTATATATTGGACTTTTATTTTATTTTATCTTATATATTTTATTGGACACAACCTGAGCTGTAATTGAATTTACACGCTTGCAATACAAAGAATTTTTGGAATCATTTGGCTACTTTGGGAAACAATGGTGCTTTTGATAAAAAAGAAGTATTTATTGGTCTATGTGAAATTTTTGTATAGGTTTCTACAAGAGTCTCAGAAGGAAAGTCACTACAAAATATAAAATACCCTTCCCAATTTACAAATTTTTTAGCAATATTACCAAGTACTAGTCCACAAGATATCATTTGTTTCAAGAAAATCTTGCAGGAAGGTCATTAAGAAATCTCAGGTAAATATCTAAGTAAATTTAAATAAATATCAATCTTTTATCTTAGATATTAAATTTTACTTTTATTTTTATAGACTTCTTAGAACAAATTCAGATTTATCATTAAATGATCCCAGAATATGTCATGAAAATATGTGCAAATTTAAACAATTTCTTGATGGTATTAAATATAGTGGTCCTATTGCTGCATCTACAGACAATACAAAACTATCAATGAAACAGAGCTAGCTGGCATGATGGCAAAATTTGAGGAACTTGACTTAAAAGATGATATAGATGAAGTATTTCAGATAATATGGTTTTGGTTAATAATCATTTTGTTGGAAATAATTTATCAGAAGATATATTATTGAAGGATATAGAAATAACCAATAATGATGGAAGTGTTAATTTTTCAGCTTTAATAGAATATTGTACTCAAAACAAAGCATACACTTCTAAAAAATATGTTGCGAATCAAAGCAAATATCCAATTAACCAACCAAAATTCAAGTACAAATACAAATCCATCTACAATAAGTAGTTTAGTGTCACAAGCAGTTAGCAATCTCAATAGTAATGACAATCAACCAAAATCACGTTTAATAAGATGGGGAATTAGAAAGAGATTAGACAATATAAATCAAATAACTCAAGATATTGGATTGAACCAACTAAATTTAAATAGTTCTGGTAAGAATATTTAATCTCATAAAATTTTCTCAAAAACATGTTACTAATTTTAAATTTAATGCAGAATCACCTTCTATACCAGCTATCACCATTGCAAATATCTCATCAATATATCCAGCAATTAAAGGAGGATTTGCCTTTGCACTAATCAATTCTAGAAATTTTTGTTGATCAATTCATATACACTACAAATGAGTTTAGAAAACACTCCCCCGTTATGTTA